ATGTGAAATCATAAATGAATGCACAAAATAAGAGGACATAACTGAGAACCACCTGTATATGAGGAAAAAGAGTGAGAAAAAGATGTTCAATGCCATCTGGAATGAAAAAAAAAGAGCTGTCTGGAAACAGGATAAATCCTTGTTCTAATCAAATCCTTGTAGTGTAAAAAGCAAAACAGCACACAGAAAAAAAGGTGTCCGGGATAAAAGGCATGACTATGTATTGGGCCACGTAGGTTTGCAGTATGAAAGACTTTGCAATTGTGCAATATGGTGTGAAACGGGCATGCAGATTTAGGGGTTAAGGATCCTTCGTGGTTTCTAATCCTTTTCCCCCAAGCTTGCCTTTGGGCAGAATGTGAGGATGTGATTATTCATGATAGGTATGGTCTTCAGATCTCATGTTACATCTGAGGTCCCCTGTCATCTCTGCAGTTATAAAGGAGCTGTCCTGTGAGAGCACTCCAAGGGTTATAAGAAGCATCTCACTGTTTCTTTTATGACAGCTATAACAAAATAACCCATGCCCTCATTATGTTATATGCAAACAATGATAAAGGGGAATGTACTGAGATGTCATGTTTAGTAATCAAGAAGCAAACCTTTGACATGAAGCTGGTAGTGGATAATAAACCTTTCTGGCTCACAACAAATGACACCACACTTAATTTGCTGTGCAATGTTCATGTAATTAGATAAATTTGGCACAGGCAGAGAAAAAGACAGCTAGATCAAGGTCTTGATGAATTAGGGGTCCTCTGTCAAGATCAAATCACATTAATCAACGAGGCGAAGTACAGAGACAGAATTTTTCCTACTTTCCAGGCTTTTTGATGAATAGCCCTGCTTTTGCCCGGCACCCAGTATGTATCACCATCAAATATGTGAATTTCAATGTAACAGCACTAGTTCCACAATTGTATTGATTTGTTTTCTTTTTGCAGCTTAAAGAATCTCAGACGGGCCAAGATCTGTTGAACAGAATTTTAATAACTCACCCTATATGCTCCCCTGTAATAGTTCACCGATATCTATCGTAACATTGTCAGGATATTGTAAAGATTAATAGAAGCAATGGGATACAATCATCAGCAGCATGGGAAAGGAACAAAGAAAAAATGCAGCAAATAATCTAAAGATAAAATATGACAAAATATTTCAACATTAGTCTGAAGCTCAAGAATGGATTTGTAACCCTTAACTCATGAAACGAACACAAATGGCACACAGGTCTCTACTGGGCAACAATCCCTCTCTCTCTTCCTGCCAGATCATGAACCTGTCCTACACGGACAGTGTTAGAGATGGGAGTCATGGGGGGGGTGTTAACATTTT